GGGTAAATGAGGAGGGTATTTTTATTCCTGATTTTTTTTTAAGGAGAAATCCTTAGGGACACAAAAGAATATCAATAAGGTTTTAACTTCAGTGGGGGAAAGACTTAATTGTTGAAGTTTTTGTCTACTCATTTCTCAGTATTTTAAGAGGTATGAAATGGCTGTTGATTCTGTATTTGTTGCATTATCTAACCAAAATTCATGGCATTGTGAACACATTGGCAACATTGATTCTTGCAGACTTGTGCATTTTTATTTTTATACTTAAATGAGGAAGGATTTTGCTATTCCTGAGTTCCCCCGTGACCAGTTCCCTGCTGTAGCATCTATCTTGCTGCTGTGGACCTGTGGGGAGTGAAATCTGCTTATCTTGGTGTGCCAGCAAGTAGTTGTTGCTAGAGACCAAAACAGCTCAGAGCACGTGCCATATGGTTTTGTCTGTCCAACTGTGCTGCATCTTCCAAAAGGCATCCTAAACAAGACCTTCTACCTATTTGTCACTCTCAGTCTTTCCTTTATGCTGTGGGGGACTGAGGCACTGTAAAGCTGGCTGGCATGATTGTGTTGGCTTCAAGTATGTTGTCTGGGAGATACAGGGAGCTGGAAAAATGAGGAATAATGAGATGGAACAGGATGGGGATCAGGAGCAATGATCAAGGAAAATTAGAAGCAGCAACTCCTTTTGTTGAAGACTTAGTGATTTTTAATCCTGATGTGATGCTTTGCTGCTTCGTGATGGCAGAGTTTGTTGTGCATTTTGCAGAGAAATTACCCTAGAGGTTTCCTCAGCATGTTTTGTGAAAATTCCCATTGCTCAAGGGCATGCAATCAGTATTCCAATTGTCTCTCTTATCCCAGCTGAGAAAGAGTTGTTTATCAGCACTGGGAAGCGGGGTAGCACTTTCATGTCCTCTTGGACATTTGCTTGTGAAACAGCAGCGTTAATGTACTGGTGAGCTGCCTCTTTCTAATGCTCCCCCCTGAACAAGCCAGAGCTGTTTGGTTGCCTTAGCCGATGCCTGATAAGGATTAATCAGCTGAATGTCATTTCCAGATGAGCTTGACAAGATACAGCAGTTGGCTGAGGGGGAGGAATTATGTGGGTTCATAACAGAGATTTCTATCTGCCCTTCTTGTTCAGGAAGTACAGCTCTTGTCTTGAGCAGCCGTGTTCTGCCAAAGCATGAAATATCATAGGCATGACTGTTTCCCTAATATATGCAGAAAAAAATTGACAGAAACCACAAGGATACTGCTCCTCTCCCTTTGATCCAGAAAAAAGAGATAAGCGTGTAAAATCAGAACAAGCTTGGTGTGTAAGATTTTTTTATGTTGCACATACTTTTAAGTACGTGCTGCTGCTATTGTGCAACTTGTCCCTCCGAGGCAGGACTGTCTAAAGGAATATGATGGGGAGGGAGTCCCGCACAGATATTGTGTGCACTGGAAAGGGAAAGGGACTACGGGAAGCAGGGAGAGACTGTGGAAAAGCTTGGATGCTCAGGTTGGAAGTACCACAGCAGAAGAGTGAACTGTTGGATCTGGACGGAGGGAGTAGTTGCAGTCGTGCCTTGAGGGTCCTGGGGCAGGCCTAGGACTCCCTGTAGCTCTCCCTGGTGGCAATGGGCACCTGCACCGCACTGAGGCACTGTGGGACGGTGAGGTGGAGAGTGCTGGGCAGTGTCAGGAAAGAGAGTTTTCCTCTGTGTAAGGCTGGTAGAAGAGTGAAGGGAAGGATTGGTCTTGAGTGATGGAAAGAAATTGCTTTTGACTTTTCTGGTGCTTAGGAGTTTGAGTTCTTTAATGAAGCTGAGAAAGAGAAAGGAGAAACTGAGGCATGGGTAAACCTGAGGATATAGTGGGGGTTTGTTTTTAACAATATTTTTAATTGTATAGGCAAAATAGTACTACAGAGGTGAGTAGTAGTTCCTATTGCCAGTGCGTTCTAAGGTAGAATACTTCAAAACATTAGTTTTCAAGGTTATTGCTGTTGGAAGCACATTTAAAATCTTCCCTGCTTATCATTTTATTTACCGGTGTTCAGAGCTATCTCTTACAACTGGAATTAAAAGTTTTTTTATTTTTCCTGTGACTGATCTCTTTTAACAGATCTATAGGTGGTGGCAGTCTGCATATTAAAATCATCTGGAGTTCTTTATATAGATAAACTATACAAAAAAAATAGATAAACTATTACAAAAACTATAGTGCATGCAAACAGTTACGGTATTTCTACTTTCTTCTTTGAGAGGTTTTAATAATAAAATATTATAGTTAGAATTTAGTACTGCTGTGTTCCATATAGTAAAAAGGAAGTAAGTTTTTTAAAATACCAGGAAGCCATATAACTTACCAACTTGGTTATAACCAGTAATTAAACAAGTGATTAAATGCCAGTAGTTTAGTATTTTTGGTTTTGCTTAGGTGGTGCATTGCCAAATTCCATGTCTTGCAAGGGATCTCTTAGTTACTGGTGAGGACTGAAGAGCTCTGCCATTCAGTCCAATAAGTGCACTGTTCTTAAGGCAGTAATGGGTCTGGTAAATAGATCTTGAAAGATCCGAGTTACATTTCTGACTTGATGCAGTCTGCTAGGTCACCTTGGAATTGTCTGGGCTTCACGTTCCTGGGCTGCAAAATGGAGACAATGGAGCTCATCTGTGAGGCACTTTTAAGATTTGCTTAAGTGATATGAGACTGCTTGATTACTGTGTGAAACAATGCTACTAGGAAGAGCACTGGTGATTGCAAATGTAACTTCTTCTGTGAATCTTTCAGCCTTACTCCTGTTTCAATGAGTTGAATATCATTAGCCAAGAATGCTTTTGGAAAGCATTTGGGGGGGAGGGAAAGGGGGGAAAGAGGAAGTTGGTACAGAGAAAGCATTTGTCATGTGCAGTGTACTGAAAGGTAACCCGAGAATATTATGTGGATGTAACTATTGTATGTTATGTAGTATCTACATAAGAGCACTTTAGAGAGTTGAATGTGACCTGTCTACCCCGATAGGTGGAATTTGTTTAATATACCATAATGCGGGTCACTGCTTCACTACTTCATTCATTTATCTTTTTGATCTTCTCATCTTTTATCTTTCTGTCTTCAAATCGTTTTTTCCTTGACCAGACGAAATACTCCTTACAAAACCCTGGAGCCAGTCAAACCGCCAACAGTCCCCAATGATTACATGACCAGTCCTGCCAGACTGGGCAGTCAGCACAGTCCAGGAAGGACAGCTTCCTTGAATCAGCGACCAAGAACACACAGGTAGAGCATTTTCTCACTGTAGCTCTTTCCTGCCTGGCATGCTGTTGCTTACTAAAGTCCCAGAAAAGCTTTGAAGCTTTTTGTCTGTTGGCTTTTTGTTGAAAGGCAAAAGGTGAGTTACTCTGCCACTCTGATTAACAGAACTTCACTGTATTGTTGACTTCTCTAACACACTGAAGTGTCTTCATACTCTTCTATAGAAGCCTCATTGTATCTAGCCTCATTGTATCTAGATTACTTCCATAATCACAGGCCTCGTTTTATATAATCTGTTTTGTTCCTTGGTATTTGTTTTCCAAGAATAAGCAAAACTTCAAAGTTTATGTAGTTGCAGGGTAGGGTAGGGATGGGTCCTAATGGTTTTAAAGCTGCACTATTAACCTTAGCCTATAACAGACTTAGCCTTTTTTTCTGTTTTCAAGTCCACTAATTGCAAAGGGAAATTTCTGTTGATTAGAAATACTGTGATGAAGATAGTCTGAAAGAGCTGATTGCTTTGGGCTAAAACTTAATGCTCGTAATCAGTGCTACTATGATTGAAGTAGAAAATAAAATCTATTCACAGAGCAGGTTAGTAGCATCAGCCAGTTGTTTTCATGTGCTTAAGGGCTTTGTATGAGTAGCCTGCCTTTTAGGTGAGAAGGGTGTTCAGAGTGTATTTTGGGGGTTTTTTAAATGTATTTTTTTTTTCTTGAATTGTAAGGCTAGATCTTTTTCTGAGCCTCTTGAGTGAGTTCAGTTTTATCAAATTGATTTTTATTTTAGGCTTCAAGCTGTAGGGAGAAAAACAGGTGAAAGAATTCAGTGTAGTTAGAAGTAAGATATTAACTTATTTTTTAGAGAGCTTCTTTCTTAATATTTTTCAACTCCCAGTAGGCAGTTGAACACAGTAAGTCACTAACAAAGACTGAGAAAGTATTTTGGACACAGTTGATCATAAAATACTGTCAGATTAAATAACTTCTAAATCTGGTTGCGATGAAGATCTTGTTAATCTGTTTAGCTGGCTACTGTGAATGCTCCCTACTCTTGTCTCACAAGATCTTTTATGTAGACTGCAGTTAGAAATTCAGTTGCAACCATGGTGACAAGATCAAGGTCTTTGGCAGACAGAACACTAATTCTGAAGGAATTATCTTGGCTTCCATTTCAGATCACTGATTTTCTTTTTTGTAACAGTGTAGTTTTCTTAAGTTATATGTGAATGATTTGTGCTTGACTCTTAACAGCACTGTTTTTTTAGCTACGGGGGCAGGGGCAATGGTAAATAAGCTGTAACATTACTGAGTACTCTTTAATTGGCATGGATGGATTAAAGTGGTGTTTTGGCTTCAAAACATCTTGACTACTTAGTTCCCTTTGTATTATCCATTTAATCCATATAAATTCAAGTTTTGGCCTAAGGAGTGCTCTTGGATAAGAATAAGGACAGATTCCACCTGAATCTCGATTCTTTTTCAGCTCCCCTAATGAAAAGAAGTATTACGGTCTCCAAAAGCATGCGTAGAAATGTTATCCAGTAGTTCACTAGAAGTATATTTTGTAACAATCTGTATTGCTAGCCTCTAATTTGTATCTCGTATAATGGCACTTAGACAAATTGTGATCACACCCCAACTGGTTTATTATGGCTGTTCTCAGATAAAAAGTTCTCAGTCTAAACTTCTGTTCTGAGTAGAGGAAATATTCCTTCAGCTGACAGCATTAATATTATTAAATATTTATAGCTTAGGCATGAACTGTTCCAGCCCCAGCTTATTATTTTCAGTTATTACAAGGCTCCTGAACTATTCCTGCACTTGGTGCTCCGTTGCCTAGAACTGGTATGGTTGCTTACCTTCTTATTCTTTAAAGCATTTAATTAAACATTTTATGCATAGTGATGTTTATCAGCTTAGCTAATTCCATTTATTAGGAGTGTAATGCATCCAGACTTGATTACCTGTATGCAATTGTATGTAGCGACAGAGGCATTTTATAGGGGATTTTTCAACAGTCAGTAATTGAGTTAGGCTAGCAGAGCTTGCACAAGAAGTGTGACTTGATAGGCGTTTGTAGGAAATGCTGTGCTAAGACTTGTGTTTTTCTTTTATAGCGGTAGTAGTGGAGGAAGCGGCAGTCGAGAGAATAGTGGAAGCAGCAGTATTGGCATTCCCATTGCCGTGCCTACACCTTCACCGCCAACCATTGGACCAGGTATGTGGGACTCTTCCCATGTTAACTTAAGGCTGCGATGTCAGTTGCTTGTGTTTGCAGAGGGATTTTGAGTGAATACAATGGGGTAGAAACTGTCCTGAAGCACAGTCCTAGTCAGGAAATCTTTTATGAGTCCTGAGGGACATCTAAAGTTCTAATTCTTTATCAAAAGTACTTGCAGCGCAATCACTTACAGAATAGCGGATGGTTAAAATACTGTTGTTGGTCCATGTTTTTACAAGATAATTGGGAGGGGAGGGGATAGAAGGAGAGAGATTTATCCTTTGAAAGCTTAAGTGTATTTTTAAAAGCCTTTCTACAATTTGGCATTTCTGGATGCCCTGAGAAGCAGTAGCAACTATGTGCATGTTTGATGGGAAATGTTTTCTTGTGAAATAGCCTGCTAACTTTACCATCTGACAATGATGTATGTACATGTTCTTTTTTTAATTAAAGTCTTTACTTCAAATAAAACAGAAGATGACCTATAGAAGCACTGCTAGTAATAAAATTCAAGCTTATCCACCAATGTAGCTTATGCTCCAATTACAGTCTGAAGTTGCCAAGCTATGATGGAGATCATTGAGAGAGGCAGGAGAACTAGTGTATATAAGAGAGCACAGCAACAAAAGAGAACTGTGCAGGATCTCTCAGCATCGCAAGCATACGCTCCCTTGTCTTTAAGAATGATGAATGGTGAGAATGTGTAGGATCCTTCTTTATTATAAGGCAGGATTATTATGTTGGTAATAAACCAACTCAGTCATTTGCTTACTGTCTGTGTATTTTGTAAGCACATAAAGCTAATCTGTACAAGAGAACAGTGAAGTTCCGGTGTAATGTAGTTTTGTTATTGCACCTCTTAAATCTCTGTTCCTTGGATGACAAGTCTTCACTTTCTTACACACATATAGGCTTTCCTTTCCCAGATGTTTCTGATCCTGCGGTGGTACAGATAGGCATGAAATCTCAACTATCGTCTGGCATCCCATAAAAATCAATGGGAGTAAAGATCTGCAGGTACAGGAACCTGTATAGGATCAGGGCCTGAGTTTGTATCAGTTGACTGAAGCTGACTTTCTGTGTTTATTTGGGAAGCCTATCAAGTGCCCGTGATTTCTTTACTTGTGTTTTTTTAAAATATATGGCCTAATTGGGAATATAAACTATTTTATTAGCACACATTTCTGTTCCTCCTCCTCCTGGAGCCCCGCCAGCACCACCACTGCCACCACCTCTCCCGATGGGCAGTCTGATAGGTGAGATTTGTGTCAATGCTGAAGTGATTGCAGTCATGCTGCATAATCAATAATCTCCTCTTCCTAATGGACTTAGTGAGGGTCTTTTTCTTCTGTAGTGAGGTCTACATGATTTCAGTATAAAAATCAATTCTGGAATTTTTTTGTTTGTTTTTCAACAAATCTAATCTCCACTAATTTCCTGTGGTTAAAGCCTCTGAAGGTAAATGAGCAAAGTATAGGGAAAAGGCTGGCAGTTGCTTCAAATCTCTGTTCCCAATAAAGCTAAGGTCAAATTAATCTGATCTATAAGAATTCAAAATCAGCTTGAATATTGGTATTCTGCTGTATCACTCCTGTAGCTGAAACTAAGCCACAACAGTTGCACTCTGGCTTAAAAATGGTAGCTGATGTGTAGGGTGATGTACATACTCTATCCTGTGGGCATAAGGTGACTGAAAAGCAGAAGTGTCTGCCACAGTGGCTTGGGTTTGATTCTGTAATGCTGCAGGCAGGTGGCAAGCTGGAAGTCTTGAGGATATGAACAGTGCTTAAAAAATTGCTTCAAGCATTGCATATAGCTGTTAGGATGGGATCTAAAAGTAGTACTTTTCAAAATGGGCAGGAAGACGTACCCCACCCTTTCCTATGACAGGCTGATGACAAAATTCATTGATTGTGTTATGAAACTATCTTTGGAGGCTTTGGCCCACTTAACCCTTTGCACTTTCCCTTACTGAAGTGTTAAGCGAAAGTGACTGGATAATATTACAGGACTGCAAACTTCTGATTGCACACTGTTTGTGTGTATATGTGTGTGTGTTTTTGTATATTTTTTTATATATTTATGTAAGATACATACATATGTATATAAAAGTACAAAACATTTTATTGCAAAACAATTTCTGTATTTAAAAATTGCATTGATTCATGTGACCTCAATGTGTGAGATTCATTAGTTTGCAGAGTGTGATTCTTTTCTCTGTCTGTCTGAGCTTAATCCAAAAGAGAACTTAAGTTGTTTTATTAACCTTGAATTTTGTGCAGCAAGCATGTGGAAGGTAAAAATGGTGTTCATCCTGAAGAATGAGACACATGTCTTTCTGTGAGCGACAACTGGTGATTCTGATTTGTTACTGCAAAACACATATGAAAGCACAACTAGCAAATATGATCGATAAATGTGCCAGGTGTCTGAAGTTCATCACATTTGTTTTACTGTTTTGTTAGAGCATCTTTTTATATTAAATTGGAGACAAGTTCTGGTTCACAATGAAAAATATTTGCTTTGAGCAGAATGTGGATTTTTTTTCTGTGTGCTTTTTAATAAAGGGTCTTGCATGTAGAATAATTGAGATATGCTTAGGAATTGGAAGCTGATGCAATTTTCCAGTCCAATCCAGTCTCTCCAAGTTGTTCTCAGCGTTTCTCAAATGCCCTTTATATGAGTGTTGGTTTATGTCCTGTATGTTTTTTTCTCATTATTGATTATAACAGGGATGTTTGTTTCTTGTTAATCTCCTGTTACTGGCCTTAAATTATTGGAGACTTGTAATCAAGTATTTCCCATGTTCTGGGCTTTTTTCTATTTTCTGCCTTCTATCCAAAGTAATGCTCTGCTTAAGTCTTTTCCTTGGTTCCTTTGGCTAATGCTTTTCAGCTGCTCCGGGTTCAGCTCCTGGTTCCCAGTATGGCACAATGACCAGGCAAATCTCGCGACACAACTCTACCACTTCTTCAGCATCTTCTGGTGGATACAGACGGAATCCTTCTGTGACTGCCCCATTTTCTGCTCAACCTCATGTTAATGGCGGGCCTCTTTATTCTCAAAATTCAAGTAAGCTTCTGAGCTCTGAAATCACAAACTGTTTTGAGCAAAATGATTGTAAAAGCATGCATGGCGTTTTAATTCATGTATGAAGAGCATCAATCAGATTACTGCTTTCTTTCCTAAAAAGAAGGAAAAACAAATAAGAAAAATCATATATTGAAGTTGTACAGTGATTGCACTATATGCAGTTATACGGTTTTCCCCTCTGACTTGTTTGGTGTTACTCATGACAAGAAATTATTATGGTTGCCTATCTAATTATAGGCACCTTATACTTAGCATTTCAGGTGTGCTTGGAGAATATAAACTAAAACCAGATTTTTTTTCAGGAGACCTAATATGGTTGTAGTACAGTCCCTCTACTACTGGGCTATAGTGGCAAGACTACTGTCAGAGCATAGTGCTCATGTAACAAACTCTTTCCATCACACAGTTCCTCCCTGTCTGTCTCTTTCCTAAATCCTTTCCTGGTTCCAAGTTTCTCCTTTGTTTTTAGTTTTGACTGTTAAAGAAGAGCTCAGTCCCTCTCTTTTTAGCAGACTCTTCCTCTGTGCTTCCACACTAGTAGTAGTATAGATGGAGAAGAATGAGGGAAGGGATGGATGCCATGGGCAAGTGAGCAGGTTTTAGTCAGCAGCGTCCTGTCTACCTCCCCAACAGGGCAAACGAGGTTCACTGCAGAAAGATCTGCAAAGTAAGGATCTACTTGAGTGTTGGCAGAAAGCTGTTTCTATCATAAAGCTTCTTCCTTGCTGTTTTCATAAATTTTGACCAAATACACCCAGAGGAGTGATTAGTCCTCTGGTGGTTTCTGGTGGTGTTCTTCAGTGTGCCAACTCTTTAAACTTCAGAGTGATATTTCTTTAAAAGAAATGTTTATGTTTGGGCTGAAGATCACTTTGGATATCACTGTTATGGACATACTCTTAAGGAAAGAATGCATATAAAATATTTGAGACACTGAGGTGAAGAGTTTTCTCAGTGGTTTAGAAGTATTATGTTTATCAGAAAGCATTTTTGTGTAGACACACAGTACCTATATATTTTTTTTCTTCCAATCCTGATTTTCCTCCCACCCTCTCCCACCCTTACTGGCCCTTAATTTTCCTCCACGCTTGTGTTGCCCCAAATGAATTCACCATAACACCAGAAACTCCTTCCAGTTTGAACAGTTGTGTTCTGTTGATTAAACAGGGCTTTACTTCTGGAAATAGTTCAGTTGTCTTAAATGCTGTGCACACCACTGTTTCTGAATGCTTACATTTATCCAAAGCAATTTTTTTGCTCAAATGCAGGTGCTGTTCCTTAATCTAGCCTCTCTGGTGTTTTCAAAATACTGATTGTCAGCATTTTTAAACAGTATTTTGATGGGTGTGTTTTTCTACTTTAAACTGTTTTCCTCTGTTTCTGTAACTGGTGATTTTTTAATTTTTTTAATGCTACTGTCTTGACATTAAATCCAGGTCCCATGTTTCCTTAAGGTTTTGCTTTTCATGCTAACAAATACTCTGTTTTTTTCTTAGATGTTTGCTTCAATTTTGTGAGAAACCCATTTGTTCTCCCTCTTTTATTGATCATTTCTCCCATATAGTTTATTTGACTGTTGGTTTTGTAATGAACTAAGTGCTCCATTTTTATTCATTAAGCATTAATCTTAATTATGGCTTTATTTAAAACTGTTGCTTACTTGGAAATACAGAACCTCTTTCAAATTTGGTTCCAACTGGATTATCTTGCTGAATTCCTACCTTCACAGGAATTTCTCTGTTTCAATACTAGAGAAATTCCACTGTGCAGGGGCACGGTATAAACAAATGAGTTGATATTTTGTTGGGTTTTCCTTTCTCTTTTTTCTTTCCCTCCACTTCATGGGGAAATGTCCTGCCAGAGATCATCCTTTGAACAGCATGCCCTACTGCTACCATGCCTCTTTCCTAACTGTAGAGGGAAGAGTTGAACATCTCAGCTGTCAGCCCAGCATCTCTGAGGCTGGTGCCACGTGTCTCATATCTCATTACTCAACAAATGGGTTCGTACTTCAGAGAAGACAAGCTTGCAAGTGCTTCCTGGGGAGCTCTGTGCACTAGTGTAGCCAGTTGTAGCTGTTGGAACCTTTGCCAGCCTCTTAGGCTGCTGAGTGCCTTCTAACCACAGACGACTTAATTATTTAAAATAAAGTTCCATTCTGCTCTGAACCCATCTGGTTTTCCTACCAACAAGCAGCAAGGTCCTTTTTTCTATGTAAAAGAAAATTATAGTAAGCCAATCCCCTGCCCCTTGCCCCAGCAGAACAAAATTATGGGAAGTGTTCTCTGTATGAATTAAGTATTGATTAATTGTTATTGATTATGAATTAAGTATTGATGCTGGAGCATTGTTTCCCTTGTGAAGTAGTTGCCTTTACTCTGTGTTAGCGCTGCTTTGCTGCACTTGATGTAGCGCTCTACTCTTATTTTAGAGTAGTCCAGAATCCTGTGAAACATCATGTCTACTTCTAGTAGCATACTTTTGAAAGAGAACTACTACATATAAGTAATCCTTATTTGGCAGCAAGACGAAAAGCTCAGTTTTGTGTGGTCTCCAAGTGAAGTGGAGCAAGTCCCTTCACATGCACACCCTGTGAGCTTCCAGATGCCCAGCCTGCGCTCGGCTTTTTGTTCAGCTAAACACAGGGACACGCTTTGCTTTTTGATCCTCGATTGGCTAACCACGAATTCAGCCTTGTTGGAAGCACAAGCTTGAAGAAGGTTCTTCTGTGTGTGTTTTTGTTGTTCTTTACGTACTTTGTTTTGTGGTCCTCGTTACTGACGGCTGCTTTTGTTTGTTTCCTTTTTTTTTTTTTCCTTTGTCTGTTTGACTTTCCCAATATGGTGTGTGTGTTGCTACCAGTTTCTATTGCTCCACCCCCTCCCCCTATGCCTCAGTTGACTCCACAGATACCTCTCACAGGCTTCGTGGCCAGGGTGCAGGAAAACAGTAAGTTTGGACAAGCTGAGCTGTTAAAGGGTAGAGCCTACTTTCTTCTAGCATGCATGGCTGGCAAGTCAGACTCTATTTTGTTTCCTTTTCCGGAAGCTAATACCATCTTGCATTCTAGTGTCAATATGCTATTGGAGCTGAAGGGCACACTCTTCAATATTTTATAACATGTGCATGGTTTTTACTGACCCATTTAAGTTTTGAACTGCAAATTTATTATAGAATTACAGTGTGAAATATGTAGCATATGCTTGGTGTGAATATAGAAATGTATCTTAATTAAAAATATTATTTTCATGTTGAATCATCCTGCCCCGAGGCTTTTTCACTAGGATAATTGATTAGTTTTTATGAGAAATGCTTATGTAGACTGTCAGAATATGTACTATGTAACCATGGATTCTGATACCGTAGTAGTTTTCAGGAAGCTGTACAGTCAGTTGAAAATGTGCAGTCTCATGATCTAATGCCATTGCAAAGGAGCTTGTAAGGTACTTCTCCTCTCAGCAGCCTTTCATTCTCCATTTCTTTGTGTTCTCTAGCCAGATTTCCCTGCTGAGCTTCTTGCAGCATAGCTCTGCTTGTTAGGTTTGCAAGAGAGATGCTCCCTGGCTATGATCTGTGCTGCAAGGTGTTGTATACTGGTAACTTTGCTTTTACCATTACTGCTCGATTCATTTCAGGTGAGTGTTACTGTCCCAAATGCTAGTGCAGGTATAAAGCCATGTTTCTGATCTCGGGACATCTTTGCTGTAAGAGTATGTTGCAGTTCTGTAAACAACAGAATGAATGCAATGTAGATAGGATATGAAGGAAGTATAAAATGTTTTTCAAGTGTTTGGGAGCCATAGTGAAGTTTGCTAGGATCTCAGGGGCTGTTACTACATAGAAACTATATAGCTCCAGCATACATTTAGGGGCCCCCAGATCTGACTAGTGCTGTTGTTCAGCTTCCCAGCAGAGCTTTTAAGTGGTCATGTTCTGAGCATTCTCCTGGAGATAGGAAGCATCTCTCTGGTTTTCAGAGGGTATTTTGGTGTTGTGCTGGTTAAATCCTAAGAATCATATTGATGTAGAATAGTGTGCCACAAAATTGTCTTGACGAACCTTTCCAACAATCAAAGTGTGCAGGTAAACCTACTGAAAACAGAGGTTACAGAATGTCTTCACTTGCAGATAAACTTGAGAAAATTGACACCTGCTTCTGAAATGTTCCAAGTATTGTCCTCCTGGAGATAACACAGCCCTTGGGAGAGCGGAGGTGAAAGGGACAAACTCATTCGTGTGTGCAACAGCAAAATGCAAGCTGACTTGTGAATGAGATTGCAGCAAAAATAGCTGAAGCTTGAAATCTGGTCTTAGGAATTGTTCTTTTTATTTTCTTTCTTTTAACAGTCCCTTGGGTTTGAAAGTTATATGACGAGTATGGCTTTGAGCTGCTGCTGCCTCATTTTGGAGGCAGGGGTGCGTGTGGCAGGCTGCGCATACACTCAGCAAAACTGGCTGTAGAGGCTGTTGTTGAATTTTGGCATTGTGTGCGAGACTTTCATCTGCCTCATTTTCTGCAAGAAGTCTACAGTCAGTGGAGTGGAGTTAGGGAGACATGTGGGTAGGCTTGTCTTTTCCTTAAAGATACATGGCTTTGGAAAGCAACATCCTCTGCTCTGTGGACTTCTTTCAGAGGACAAGGACAGAGGGCTTAGAAACTATGCAACGCCTATTCTTTTTTCCTGCGCCCTGTGCCCAAACTATGGGTATCTCCTTGAGGGAGGTTTTCCAGTGTGTCCAGTGCCCAGGGACAGCTGATTGGATGTAAATTGCTCTAATGTCACACCCAGTCCTTTCATCAAAAGGAGTCTGCTGGTCCCCATTTAAAGAACAGGGTTGTGAATATATACAAGAGAAGATGCAGTGGCCCCATTACTGGCCCCGTTACCCTTTCTCATTTAGTGTGGTTTTCTGTGTGCTTTATTTTCCTCCCCTAGGAAAAGTAATGCTATTCTAGTGTCTGTCTGTTGTAAGTTCAGAACCAGGAAAAGTCTAGGTTAAAATCCAAGAGGCGGAGGGATATTTCCATGGGGTGGCACTTGTCTAATTTTCTGTTCCATTTTCTCCCCTTGTTTAAATGTGAAGTTGAATTGTTTTACATGTTTCCCATAAAGCATGCAGTTTCTGCACTGCATCTCAGTTAGGGTATGTGTTGGCGCTTTCACACCTGCATTTCCTGCCCTCTTCTTTTAAAATAAGCAACTTCATTGTTGAATAAATACAACTTTTTGCATTTCTTATGGTAAGGATTTCTCAAGATCTCAAAATATTGTAGTTTCAAAACTGGTGTATTTTCCTGGCTGCAGACAGAAATTAAGGGGAGAAATATATTTTGTGAAAGATGTGCCAAAACTACTGCACAAAACCAATCCATTCACAAACAGTGTTGTCATGTGTCTGTGGTGGATTAATGAAACGTCCGTGTGAATGCTATTCAGTAACATGGGCAAGACGTAGCTTTCACTCAGCCAAAGACTTTGTTAGTCTCCAAGTGACATCTCTGTCCCAGCAGCTCCTGCTAGCTTCTGCCCCCTCACAGCAGATTTGTCTTGCCCTATACCAATGTAGGCAGTCTGACCCAGCTAGGACATGGGAGCTGTGCTTGAGCCCCTTGTCAGAAGCATGTGGATGAAGAGGAAAGGTTAATCACCACTGGAGCAGTGGCCAGGTAAAATGAAGAGCATTAAAGCAAACAGAAACCCTGTTTCTAATGTCCAGTGCCACTGTAACTAGCAGTAGCTGAAGCTTCACTGTTGTTCTTTCCTTGCCCTGCAGCTTGGTTTCCTCCTCAAAATTAGTGTAGTGTGCTGGAGCTACATGTTCTGGAGCACATGCCCAGCCTGATGGCTCCTTCCAGTCAAACTCTTTCTAGGAGAGTGGTTCTTAGCCTGTGTTTTCAATGTGCAGGCTCCCAAATCTCTTGTAATTAATCTGAATTGCTATATAATAATAATTAAATCTGAATTGCTATATAACAAAGTTGAGTTTAGTGGCAGTAGCTTCCTTTCAGTAACTTCTGGCTTCATGGTGCTTACACTTAGGTCCATGTGCAGTAGACCACAGTTAGGTCTAGGAATAGGATAAGTGACCTGATGTCTTGCATCTGAGTGTGCTCCTCTCTCCTTTGCTGCCAGCTGCTGCAAACATTACTGAAAACTAATTTGATGAACTGATTTTTAAGAGTGATTTGTATCATAATGCCTTCCCCTTTTTCCCTTTCCCAAAGCAACTTGTAATTGTGCTGATTTTGGAGAATCTCAGGGCAGGGATTTGACATTTTGGATTATACACTTAATTCCTTGAGCACTTTTTCCCCAAGAGCAACAGCTGCCTGTTGTAGTTTTCCATTTATTAATTGAATCCTGGATATGTGCACACACACAAGCTAGTCTGCAAGATAAGGATCAGTACAAAGCTTTTCTTCTGCAGGATTACTTGCTTTCTCTTACCTGGTTAAATCTTAAACGCTAGTCTCTTACCTTTTTTATCATCCACACCAGATCTTTTTTGTCCCGTTAATGCTCCTTCTGAGGGAGAAGGAATCCAAGGAAGCAGTGTTCATAAATAAATTAAAGTGGTTGTTATAGACAAAGGATTTGTTAAAAAATAATCAAGCTGCTGGTCCAGTCCAGAGGCCTGTTGCTGTCTGGCTCAGAGGGTGCCACTCGGAGTCCTCCCATAGCTAACCACTGCAGCTAGCCCCATAGCGCATGGACGTTGGAACAGGAAGCTTTCTTCTCTGCTGGTGTTCAGCTTATGCCCTGCAGCATGTGCTTTGACTTTAGTAGCATTTATACATAGATTTGACCACTAATAACAAATGTAGTTGTATGTTGTAGCTGTTAACACAAAGGCTCTGTTTCTAATCAGTGCATGGTGTTACAGTGCATGCTATGTGTGTTGTCCCCCCACCCCTTCTATTTACAGTGTGCAGCCTCAGGTTTGTTTGCATCTCCACACTGTTTTGATTTAAGAAAAAAAATAATCTCCAAACGTTTCTAGTTGCTGATAGCCCGACTCCTCCCCCCCCACCGCCTCCCGATGAGATGCCAATGTTCGATGACTCTCCTCCTCCACCCCCCCCACCTCCCGTGGATTATGAGGATGAGGAGGCAGCTGTTGTGCAGTACAGTGATCCCTATGCAGATGGAGATCCTGCTTGGGCACCGAAAAACTATATAGAGAAAGGTAAGAGACGCGTTGCAACTCTGTGTTACTGCGGTATCAGAGGATTAATGGTATCTGAGGGGAATGAAGGACTTAGCTTGGGTCTGATGAAAACAATCATTGTGCCTGCTAAGGTAGAACCCAAAGCATTCTTTTCTTAGTTTGTCTGTGGCTACACCTAATGTGATAAAATATAATCCTTTGGAAGGGTTATAAAATACCTTCAAGCATTCTAGAATAAAAAAAATCCTTTGTTATGAGAAGCAGATGTAAATCAGATGGTGTTCATCTTTGCTGAGCTGCTGGACTGTGTCTGTAGCTGCCTCAGGATTGCTAAGCAATCACCTAGAAATAGTGTTGCAAAAAGGCCAGAAAGTCCCAGCTCTATTTATCCTGTCAAACTAGATAGCTAGAGTGGATTGCTAGACTTTCAGCTATAAAAATGCAGTGAGGCTTCCTTGGACTCTAGATCAGCAGACTTAGGTATGAACTCATATAGTAAATGTCTCTTCCCATGACTCATTTTGATGCTGGTTTCCTGCCTGGAGAGTTGTCTGTGTTCTGACAATGACCATTTTGTCAACAGCAACGTTGCAAATTTTCTCATGATCTGGCTGGTGCTGTAGTGCGTATGAAACGGGTGGGGTACCTGTGGTACCTGTCTTGGGAGAACCGCTATGTTCCATCTTCAGTCCTAGCTGGACTGTGTGCGGCATGTACATTATTTGCTAGGCATTAAGACATCCTATTTCTGAGAGTATATATATGTAAAATAATAAGTTATTGGAATTCATAAAACTGATCAATTGCATAAATCCATGTTAACTGTTTTGATGGGTAAGGCTGTGATGTCCAAACTTTGTGTATTCATAGTGGTAGTTTTTAATTCCAGGGTTATTGGTGGTGACATTTACTTTCCTTAGGGAGATCTCTGCTTTGTAATTAGCACACAATGAGTTGAAGGTTGGTAAGAGTAATTTCTTCACCAAGCAGGTACTGAAAAATAGCTGATGTTGCTGTAAATTCGCTTCTGCTTTTTCCCACAGTAACTTTTATACTTGCAGCTCCTTGAAAAGCAATGCCAAAACTTACCATCCCATCAAAGCTGTGTAGCAAAGACCATCAATTTCTGTACAGTGGCTTTCAGCAGCTATGTTTACAAGATCACATGCTGAAATACGTACTGTATAGCTGCAGGGGCCATAGTGTAGATGTTTTTTTCTCTTGGACCATTTCTACAGGTTATTTTTTTTTTAAGGCTTTCTCTAATCAAGAGATCCCTATACTGAGATGTATGTGCTGTTGAGGTAACGTGACCAGAAATTACATGGAGCCACTTATTGCACAATTCAGCTTTTAAGTGTCCATATGCTCTGCTTTACTGCGTCCCAGTCAACTGTACCCCTCTGCCAGTAGTTTAACTGAGTGTTCAGTGTAGTCACCACCCACTTCTTACTGGTAGCTAATGTTGCAAGAAAAGTGAAATTTCATTTTCTGGACTTAATGTTCAACAGGGAAAGCATGTGAATTCATTATGGAAAATTCCAGGATAGCAAACTAGTCTTTTAAAAAATAATTGTACTTCAAAAAATGTTAATATTGGTCCTATTAATAAAATGCTAAATTTGTCCCTGTTCAATCCACAGTTGTTGCTATATATGACTATACAAAGGACAAAGACGATGAGCTGTCGTTTATGGAGGGTGCAATCATTTATGTGATAAAGAAGAATGACGACGGCTGGTATGAAGGAGTTTGCAATCGAGTAACTGGCTTGTTTCCTGGGAATTATGTTGAATCAATCATGCACTATGCTGATTAAAATCCTTTGCTTTTCAAAGTTGGGTCTTGTATTCAGTCATACCATGATTATTTACAAGGGGTAACTAAAAGCTAACAGAATTGTCTTAATATACTTTCAAAAAAATGTGCCCATTTCTTCAGGCCATACTGTTTTAATGGTATGATTGAATGTCCATCTCTCTCTGGAGACAGTATGTCCTACCTGATGGCAATTTGTAAAACAAGCAGCTGTCTATAACTGGTTATACTTATTTACTTATGCATTGTTAATTTTATGACCAGCCTAAATATTCTGGGGAAGTAGGGTATAATATTTAATGAACCATGATTCAGATTGTGCCATTACATTTTTCAGTACAGCATGGTAACTAACACTACGTTAGACTAACATATTAAAATCTGGATGAGAAGTTTAATGTTAGTGCTGGTCATATTACTTTTTGTTTAGACTCTTTGCTCATTCTTGAACTATATTTGTTTAAAGCATGCATACAAACTTACGTATTGAAATATACTTTTTTAAAAATCCAAGATGCTTCCAATTGTTGTAATCTTTACCTGGAGTATTCTCACTGAAGTCGATTACAATGAGTTGTTTGGGTCTAAGGTGTCCATGTGAATCAAAAAATGGGTGGTCTTATGTACGTGTAATTTGTACCCAAGTTTTTTTTAATGAGTAAATTTACATTATGACTTTTTCCATTCATAAATATATAAGTGAACCAAAGGTCTTGTCCATTACTTTGTTGGTTGGCTTGGCAAAGAAATTTGGAATGCTAACGTAGCAAAATCATGGCTGTGTTATCCCAGGCAATGTACTAAAAAGCAAATGTTTGTAATGTGACTTTATCACTGACAGAGGGACAATAAATTAGATATGAAACCTGAACTACACATTTATACCAACTCTTAAAAGTTCTTTTCTTCCAAAATTAATTTTAGGAAGGATTCGTGACTGAATCTGGTTATCTAGATGCAGTAAGTTGGACACCACCTGTAACTGACATTTCTCAGTGGAAATGTATTAGGCTTGGTGATGTGCCCCGCTGAGCAGAGGCAGCAGGCTGTCCTCAAGATATAATAAAGGGCGAACAAACATGACAGGATGTGGATTCGTTTTACAGGACAGAGCCATGCACTTAGCCCCTGTGTTAAGGGATAATGGGCAGTTAGAGATGATATACTTCCCTGTTCTACAGATTCTGTGGCTTAACTAACCTGAAAAGGAATGTGGTGCTACTGGATAATTACTGTAAGAGGAATGCGTCTGGGACTTCAAAGCACACTTCTGGGAGGGTACCAAATATACTCAATAAATGAGTGATGGAGGGAAGGTGACGGAGTTGAAGCTTAGACTGGCTGTTGAATCATTCAGTTTTAGTGTGAGTTAGAAATACTGAGCCTTTCATTTTCTTAACTGTACCAATCTCAAATTCTGCATCTTGTTAACTGCTAGCAAGTAGCAACCAATCAGATACCAGTATTTCATTATATACATAAATGAGAAGTTTTCCAATTCATAACAAATTGAAGTCTATATATAGTCTTTTAGAATAAACCAATTTCTGTGTATACAATTCCAGGTACTTCTGTAGTTTAACAGCCAGAAAAGCACTCAAACCATCTCTCTTCACAAGAGTTTACCACAGTAACATGCATGCTGTGTTTATTAGTGTGAACAAGTGAAATTTGGAGCAACTTCAATTCTCATACACTGATTTATATTTATTCTCATTGTGGCCTTTGTGCATCAACATGTAAACATCTTCCCTGCCCCCCACAATTAATAGCCCCCACTAAAACAATTGTACAGCACAACTTGATTTGCTCTGAATTGTATGGGTTCCTACAATAAAACACTTTAAACTTTTGTTTTTAAAAAAAAGTAGAACTTCCAAAAAAAAAGTTTTTTAAAAAAATAATTTTTGGTAGCCTGTGTTGGAAGCAAGTAACTTTTGAAGTAAATTTAGGCACAGTCTGGTAAGTAGCTGCCAGAATGAGTGGAAGGAGTTCTCTCACTTGTCTCGCATGAGTACCATTTCCGTCAGCTGAATGAGGGCTTCTCTTTCTGGGGATGGCCGTAGTTTACGGATCTCTCTTGTAGCTTCATGGCAGTAGCGCTGGGCGAGGTAGGTCGTTTGCTGCACACCATCACTCTTACATAAGAAGACAGTTAAAGGTAATGGATAACTGGTCAGCTTCCCTCCTGCCTTTTGCCTTTTCCGTTACAGGGGGAAGTTTTAAGGTCAGTAAGTACCCTGAACACTTAATTGTATTCTGAAGGGGAAAGGAAGGGGATTCATGCTATAGTCAGTGACTCCTATATCTCTTCTCCAAAGCTTCAGAATACTAAAACTCATCCATGCTAAACTTAAGGATACATAGAAAACAACACTGGTATTAATAACATACTGTTCAGTTGGATTAGAAACTAATGGTTTAACACCTCCCCTCCTGCCCTAAATAAGAATCATAGAATCATTAAGGTTGGAAAAGACCTCAAGGATCATCAAGTCCAACCGTCAACCCAATACCACCTAACTCACTAAACCATGTCCCTAACTACCCCATCTACATGTTTCTTGAACCCCTCCAAGGAGAAGTACAAAAAAACATGCTATGCTGCAAAAATAGGTATTAATTTTGTTCAGGCAATTACTCAATGTTTTCAGACCAGAGTCAGTTAAATCTAAATACGGAGTGTACGCTGCAGTTACAAGACTCACTGGTAATTATGTGCTGCTTACAGCTACTCTTCAGCTGAAGGAACTGAGTTTGTGCATGAGCCTTTTATCATGTGGATTTTACACTACTGGAGGGAAAGAAGAAAAAAAGCTCTTTAGTACCTAGCATTTCTGCTAAAGCACTGTGCCAGTAAGGCAGCTGAAGTGTACTAACTTGGTATTGTACGTAACATGCTACTTAATGTGTATTTGAAAATGCAGCCCTGCTATTTTACTTGAGAGGCAACGAATTTCAGACTGACTTCAGCGAGGACAGTACTTCAGGAATAAAATATTTCGTATTGGTCCTACCTGCAACACATATTTCCGAGCACGTTCAATGTCTCCTGGCTTACTGAATCGTCTCATTATCATAGCGTTCATTTCTGGAAACTAAGCACAGAGGGAGAAGGTTTTGTACTGCTTATAAGTTGTTTTCCACGTAGCTGCCAGTCATGCTAAGGTCAAAAAGAAACCAAAGTACAGACCTCTGCCACTGTTAATACAGGTATAGCTGTAGGTCAATACCTGCAGTCTGCATAGGTCTGTAGTATAGCAAAGCCCAAGCATTTAAAGCTTAAACTGTCTGTAGCCAGTTGGTAGCAAAAGTTAGCACCTGCTATTTCATCATGTTGAGCAGAGAATGCAGTGTGGTAATTCCTGATGCGGCTACTTCCACGTGTATAATCTGTTTCAGGTTCTTTGTCACAAATGAGGGTTAGTGATGGCATACCTAGAAGCAGCACCTCTTCCCCGACTCAAACAAAAGAGAACCCAGGTGGTCTATTATACCGATATTGCACAGTTTGATCTGTAAAATCCTTCATGATACCTTTGACTGTTACCTCCACTTACGCTTTCCATTGCTCTGGTATTTTATATACACAGGCTGTGCCTGTGGAAAGCTGAGGACAAATTACTACTATAATCTATTTTGTTTTCAGTGACGTACAATTTGTAGTTAGTACTGCACACTCGATTCCCTACAAATCAGATAGATGACTAAGTCAGTTCTCTGTGAAAGTCACTGCATCACGTATCTAAACATGCAGGCGCTTTCTTCAGACAGCCCATAAATAGAAAAACCTGGTGCTTAACAAACAAAGGCCATAACTCAGGGCAGCTACTCTGCGGAAGAACTATTTTTGAAGGAAAGAATTGTTTGTTCATCTTGTCTTAAAGGGTTATAGTCAAACCAAGATTACTTGATTGCTGTGCACTTGTAAACAATGATCTGCTTTTCCTGCGCACCTTTGGTTCTGCAACTGTAGATGTACAAACTTGTTAGGGAACAAACATGTAACATCCCTCATCCCTATTACTCATAGGTGGTCTTCTTGGAAGATACATTTAGAAGTTTATTGGTGACTCATACTTTGCTTTCTCTAGATTCTACCTTTCTTCCCATGTAATGACAATATAATTGCAATGTTCATATAATCCATTTTCATAGGTTTCATATTTACAATTATATAGGATGCATATGCTTTCACTTTTTATATTTAAGCACTAAAGAATATAAAAATCCCCAAATCTGTAATGCAAAGCTGTTATTAGCATCTCTGCAGATTTAACAGGCAGTATATAAGCATTTTTCAGGAATGCTTGTAAGAAAAATAAACTCTTACTCTTCAGCTGTACTAGTTTTAGGAGTGGCTTTAGCCTTAGTATATGCTAGTGTATTTCTTTAAAAAAATATTTGGTTGTTGGGGTTTTTTAACTGTGTGAATTAACTTTAAATACTGAATCAATGTCTCACATGAGGCTAAACATTTTTGGTATAAAGGCCTCTCCTTAATATTCTAATGCATAAAGATATATTTCAGAGGGAAGGGAGAAGACAAGAAGAAAAGAAGGTTGTCACTGAAGATCCAGAGCGCATTCAGAACTGAATTATGATGTTTGTCAAGAGGACAACATAAGGATTACCAGATATGTTAAAGGGTATGCAGGACAGCAGTAATATTAATTCCAAAAGAAAAGACAGCCTATAACTAACAATTACATTTTGGACTATCTTCAAGTCCTGGCTCAGGAGTTTTTATTCTCCAATACAAATAGATGAAACATCTTTCAGTAGCAGCACAGATAAGTGTCTGTTGAAGCTCCAAATTTTTTTTTTAGCACTTGGACTTTGTTTATATATCACTTAAGTCTGTAGTGCTGTTCTTGTAGTTTCTTGAAAACAGCAGGAAATTTTCAGCAAAGAAGCCTTCCGGTTAATGCGGAAAACTTTGCAAGATGGTCAAGTTATCCTTCAGTGTAAAAATGTACGCTTCCCATCTATCAAAGATCTAAATGAGGAAAAGTGTTTAAAAGTGACCTACAAAGAACAAGCAATGTTTTAAAATAGAACTGACATTTTATTTTCTTGTCTTTTTATATTATGAACTGAACTGATTTCTCTTATAGAGCTAATTAAATGATAGATGAAGTTGAAAGTCAGAGACAGCCAACCCAAAGAAATCAATAGAAAATTGTTTTAATTGAAAAAAATTGGAATATTCAACACCCCCAAGACAATCGGTGTCACCCACTCTCTGCCAAAATCTGAGTATTTGCAACATGTCCTTGTTTCTCTCTACAAGTAGCTTTAACACACACAAAGCAACCAACTAACCATTTCACAATTGCATCTTCTTTCTGTACGCGAGTGTCTCACTGCTCTGTAGACAACTCCAGTTGCTGATGACTAACAAGATCGTGCTGCTTATCAACAAGTTCTGAAATAATGATTCAGGAACAAATATGTGAATCCCCCAAATGAGTCTGTCGGGAGGAACTGGAACATGGAGGAGGTTGTTCTCAGCATGCATTTGTCTGCATTCTTAAGTGTGGCTGACACTCTCTGCTCTCCTGTCTTTTCTGAGATACATGTCATTGTAAATGCCCAGAGGATAAGGAAACGCATATATGTTGAACCTCCCCTTACTCCGGGCTCTTTAAGAAAGAGGGGGAAGTCACTGTCATAAAGTTGTATTTTTAAAAAATTATTTAAACCTTTTCCCACGTCAAGCTCTGAGGAATTCAAATGAGAGATCACAGACTAGCGCTCTTACTGGAACTAGTTGTGCCAGTTTTTGTATGATGCTGTGAAGTCTGGTAGGAAGGACTGCTTTCTAAGTGCCAAATGTTCTTTCCTCAGGTGAACCAGAAGCTTGAGCAAGGTGCATTAAACCAGTTTCTTCCCCTCTTACGGATTACCACCAATTTTAATGTTTCTTTTGGTGCTGCTGGCACTCCTGTTTTCCTTGTACTCCAAATCATTTTCAAGCCACTAAAAATCTTGACCAAGTTTACACTTTTTTTATGATACTTCTTTCTCTTACCCAGATTGTGATTACATTTACCTTCAGAAGGGAAAGGTTCCCACTTTTGTAACTCATTAAGACTCAAAGACAAAGAGATGAAGAGACCAAATCCAATAGAGTTGCCCACCTGACAACTAGTCAGTAGGTTTAAGTTCTTGGCCCCAGGATGGATAAAAAGCCCAGAACTTGGAAAAAAGGCTACATACATAGTCAAGCCTGGGAAGAACAAGATGTCACAGGAAAGAACATAAGCGAGAAGCTACTTAGGAATAACCTGCAGAAGACATGCAAAAATTCTCTGAATACCTGCCCTTTGGTGAAGGTTAAGCACTTGAACTGGAGGACACTGCTGCTTTTGATACAAGGGCCAAATGGTAAGAGGACTTGTGTAGGAAGGTGTTTCTCAGTCTTAAAGAACATGCGTGTGCACGCTAAATGCAGCTGATCTTGAATCCACTGGTTTTTCACACGTGCCCAGCCCATGCTCATTACTTATGCTGAAGACTTGATGTGCTCGACCTGGACCTCTATGTGTGCTCTGGAGAGCAGTGTACACTTTTTGTTTTAGGGAAGTATATTCCTGTTGACTTACCTGTTGACAAGCAAACAAGACAGGGCCTGTGGCTAATCCAAGCTTGAGATCTGCTGCTGTTGGTTTCCCCAGACGGTCAGCACACGATGTAAAATCCAGCACATCATCTATTAGCTGGAAAGAGATACACAGATAAAATGAAAACTTTATTTTTTTAATGAGAAATAAATACAGAATAATCCTTGTTAAGAGAAGATTCATAGAAAGAATTAAGACAGCCCACTTTGATTTCTAAGGCACTTTGGAAAAGTTTAAATTTTAGATTTCCTTTAGTTCAACAAAAGCACTACCTGAAAAGCTATGCCAACATTTTTTCCATACTGGTATGCAATCTCATGAACTTTGGGATCAGGGCAGCCTAAAATTGAAACCTGAAAAGGAAAAAAAAAAAAAAACAAAAACCCAAGTAAATAGAAAGCTTTAGTCCAGTGACAGGGGAATTAAATTTATTACATATATAAATCAGCCAGGGGATAATTGGAGATCATACAACAGATAAATGGACATTACATGCCTCATAAAAGATCCACAAAACTGGATGTGTTGCACGCAGTGTAGGAGGGACAACTGAGATAAGATGACTTTTAAGGGTGATGTTAACTATAACTGAATTGCTCAGAAAGATGAGCTGATTAGCTTGCAGGCAAAGGGATCAAGGGATAATTAGTGGCAAAGAAAAGACAGTCAATGAAGAAAGTACACCAAGCTAGAAAAAGTATCACCAAACTGAGATAAACAAATAAAACATTTTAATTGAGTACAGATAAAGGAATTGACAACTTGAGACAGAAGTTTTGCTGAATAAACTCTACAAAGCTAAAACATAGGGCACAAACTAAGATTTGAGAACTAATATCTTGCCTCAAAGTAAGGACACTTATGCTTTTGCATTTTTGTATTGATTATATACTTTGCAAAATGAGGTTGGTTATATTTAAATACCCAGATTTATTTCAGCCTTCAATAAAGCAATAGGAACAGGGGGCAAAAATCCATCCTGGTTTACTACTGCAGACATTCCAAATCTGCTGTGACTAGCGGAAGGAGTGAAGATACATTTCACTTAATATGACACTAAAAATACATGCTAGGAAAACCACATGACACAAAAACACATATATAAAAAAAAAAAAATCCTCTTCAAGACTATGTAAGGTAGGATCTCTAGAAGAAAAAACCAACCAGCAACTAAAAGTGAGTCCAGGAGCAGCTTTCAAGGTGAACACGAAGATGGAAGTAAGAAACAACATTATATCCTAATAAACACAATACAGCTTGCCCAAGATTAGAGTCTATTTCATGCATCAGTGCATTTTGTAACTGAGCATCAGAACAGTTCCCAGTCATAACCTGCACCCGTGGATGATAGTTAAAACCCAGAGGAATCTGGATGCCTGAGGCATTGACAGCATCTCACATTTCCCAATTTTATTTAAAAGAAGAGGATAGTATAGCAGAAAAATAATGCTACTTATCTGTAATCATACAAAATCCTGAAGCCTATTAAAACAGAGTGAACTGGAAATATGAGATATTTAAATAGACGTTACTAGGGACTATCAAAAAAGCATTTTGCCCTTTTATCCTCCTTCTGACGCTTGTTTCTTAAATAGCAGTATTTGCCCCAAAGAGCTAACATCTTCTATGGCTGTACCATCCCTAGCAAACTTTTGGTTGCTTTTGTAATATAAATCAAATAGTGTCAGCAAGGCAGGATGACTGCATCTACCTGTTTCAATGAAATCTTTACCTACCACCATATTTCATGTGAAGAATTAAAATATGGAATTCAGTAGAACAGTGACAAAATCCTGGTTAATGGCAAAGGGTCAGAGTGGGCAAAAGTGCGTAGACAGGGAGAGGAACTGCCATGTAAAGAGAAGAGCTTTGTCATTTAATCTGAAAGGTCACAGCAGAGCTATTCCTGCAGGTGGACACTTTTCTGGGGACACAGACATTACCTAAAGAACCACAGCAGTATATGTACATTTAAAAAGCAGAAGTGGGAGTTACAGGATGTTACACAAGCAAAATCCATCAATGCAAAATTAATTCCTGCATCTTTGCAAGAGAAGACCTTCACAGCTCCTATTCAGGTTATGAACATTTCTGAAGACAAAAAAATATAAAAATCCAGGAGATTGATGTGCCTCAAGTCAGCAGCTCTGATCGTGACCACATCATAAACCTGCAACATGAGCGGGTCTTCTCTATCAGGGAGTTCCTTCAGGAGCCAATTTCTCAAATTGCTCTTGTGGATTATTACCCCCACCTGGACACTCACTGGGGTGCAGGCAGCCTTGCTCCAGTCAGCCTGTCACTCACAGTGAAGAAGTTTAACTGAAGCCATACTGGGATAATAGCGTGAATTTACACACACAAATCGGGATAACAATGTCAATATAATTATACATGTTTAAAGATAAAGCTCACCCTTTGAAAACATCCTGCAGCTCCCCTGATATGACTAGTTGATAACAAATTTAATATTGCAAGAATTCAGACTTGTCCTCCACTAAATCCTGAGCCTTCCTAATACCAAGTGGAACAAATTCTTTAGAAAGGTTCTTTGAATTCACTAAAGCAAGTCAATCTGCTTGGCATTATTTCAAACACAATTTGTTTCTATTATTTTGTGTTACACAGGAGACTATAAACCAATCTTTCTTTTTTACTGAATTTCACATCCATAAAATATTCTGTCATCAGCTCTGGGTAGATCTATCCTGCTCTGTTATTTTTTTACCATGTGAGAATATGCCCGCTGGAGTTGAAAGCACTTGCACATCTATACCGGTGCCCTGTAGGTCAGAGAAGGAAACCTGCTGCTGGGCAGGGATATGCTTGTATAAACAGTACAAGAGATGTTTGCTCTCACACTGCTAGACTTGTGGACACTATGGAAAGGAAAAGGCTCTAAAATCTTCCCCTTTTCCAGCCTTTCTCCTCCATGCCCATCTCCTGAAGCAGTCAGGATCCTGCCTTCTCATTTGTGGCTCATCCACTGCTGTTTTTCCAGACAGGAGGATTGTTCCTTTTTCCAGTGGAATCACAGAATACCTTAGGTTGGAGGGGAACTCTGAAAGTTATTTGGTCCAGTCATCCACTCAAAGCAGAGCTTACTTCACAGTTAGATCAGGTTGCTCAGGGCTGTGTCCAGTTGAGTTCTGAGCACATCCAAGGATGAAGATCCCATACTCTGGGCAGCCTGTTCCAGAGTTTGACCAACCTCATGGAGAAATTTTTTCTTAATATCTAATTGAATTTTTCCATGGTATAACTTGTCCTTTCACTGTGCATCTCTCCATCCTCTCTACACCCTCCCATTACATAGCTGGAGACAGCAAGAGGATTCCCCCAGAGCCTTCTCTGCTCCAGACTAAAACCAGCTCTTGGCATATCATTTGCTCCAGCCCCTAGCCATCATGGTGGCCCTTCACTGAGCCCACTCCACAATGTGAACGTCTTTCTCGTATGAGGGAGCCCAGCCTTGAGATCTCATGTGCGTTGAATAAAGGAAAACAGTCATTTCTCTTGATGTACTGGCTACATTGGCAATGATGCGGTCCAGTACGTACTTATCCTTCGCTGCTGCGGGACACACCACTGACTTCTACTCCAGGCTCTTCAAATCCTTTTCAGTAACTACTCTCGGGAAGGGGGTTATGATGGCCCACCTGGGAGAGGAAGATGTCTACCCAGCAGAAGCTACCACACACAGCAGACAACTATGTTGTCCCGAGTTTGCAATTTCATGCATTTGACCTTTTCTCAAGCAATTAATATTTTAACATTCTAACCAAGTACCTGTTTATGAAGAACTGTATTTTTACAGAAGTGAAGATTATCTGCCTGAATATCTGTGATATATTTATGCTAATCTTTTTCATAGCAAACATTATCAAGAAATACCCCAAAGGAGTTACTGTATTTTAAATAAGTAAGGAAATTTGGTGGCTGACCATAATATCTGATGCTGCTGATGCTACTACCCTACATCTGTTACTGACTTTATTGCAGTCTCCATGCCTAGTTGGGCTGGGGGGATCAATTTTGCTGGTGGGGGTCAGAGGTCTTATCTTCCTAGACACCAGTTCCACACCTGGTAGGTTCTTTTTGATGAAGCCCTCTGCACACACCAGACTATGAACCAGTTAAAGCAGGAGCTCACAAGAAGATCCAGAGCTGCAGACTATTCCTCTTCTTCAGTCCCTAAGGCAGACCTTCCATACACAGCCTTGCCTTACAAAATGAGGCCGCATGCTTTCTCCTAATAGAGAAATCAAGAATCTCTAGTGCAACTTTACGCTTATCTCAAAACAAGCATGATTTAATCCCTCTTCTGAAAGTATGCTGTGCAAAATAAAACAGCTTTATGAGGGCTAGGAATTCATTACAGAAGGATAAAAAAAGATGGAAAGAGAACCTGCTCAGCTTATTTTACCATCACCAGCTTGCCTGATGACTAATAGAAATTCCACTTCAGCTTTATTGTTTCTGAATTCTTGAACCAAAGTCACCTCTCATGTTTCTCTGAAAAATGCCTTTCAGTAACTAAGGCTTCAGTGACCCTCTGGGCCATCTGCCACCATTTCCTTTTGCAATGTATTACTTTGTTTGTAACTTTGGTAACATTCCCCCATGCAGATTGTAGAAATAAACTGGAGACTGGCCTCTAACATCTTGAACAGACTGTTCTGTCCATAAAAAAATTATTTTGCTAACTGAAAGGTCTTTCGATTTAAATGCAGTAATGCTTTGGCAATGCAGAAGGTATCTAATACAGTGACTAGACCAGTGTTGACAGACTATCTATTATCTTGTTTAGACATTTTTCCAGCAATACTCTACTCTTCCATCTCTAAGGCATGACACTGTAGAATTCTAAGATGCTACCTGAACTTGTCTGACGTCTTCTTTCCAGTTAATACTTTTATTTATGCACGAAACAAATCACTGTTTTTTCCTATCATTAACAGGAACCAAACTCGTTCTAATGACAAACTAGCCTGGTTCTAACTGATATTCTGAAAACAAATAATCTCTCTCCTTAGCTTTGTTCCTGAAAACAAGATGTGACTGCTCTTGATTCCCCAACTGAATTTCCTTTCAAGCTAAAACTGATGATCCTGCTTATCATTTTTGCTACAGAAAACAGAACTCCCTTCTGATTCCACCCTTTTCCTTAGTGGCCAAAACCATGTAAACAAAAAAACCCACCCCAACAGCCCCCCCAACCCAAATCCCAAACAAACAAAAAAAATCTCCTTTTCACTGCTATCAAGAGTTCTCCTAATCCATGCAGAAAGAAACTGAGGGAGACATATACATATATATATATATATACACAAGTCATTGCTACTGTGTGCAATAAGTACAGTTTTGCCATAAAGACAGAACTCTCTCTCATTTTTCCTTTATAACACAAATTTTACACCATATAAAATTCCAGCATTTCAGCAATGGAACAACTCAGAAAAACCACTAGAAGAACCAGCCACAATCTGGAGGGAAGTGCTTAAATCCTTAACTCCTGCAAGCTATTAAAAGGAAAAAACTCAAAAAAAGCACATTTGTAAGGAGAATCTACCACATGGGAAGGTGATTTCTTTTTCTATCTGTGAAGGTTCTTTTAGGAAGACTGTCAAAGTGAATATAAAAACTTGTGCACTTTTATCAGGGTATCAGAGTAATGTGATGCTCCTTACTAGTCCTATTGCCCACTAATAGAAATGAAGACTTGCAAAGGGAAATTCTTGCTAGGGTCATATTGCCATTAATACGAGCAATCCAGAAGACTTCATTTCTTTTCTCCAACTAGAATGAAAGATATTTTCCCTCCCCACATAATCTGTGTCTCTCATTCTATATGATCCTTCTGATTTAAGCCATTTTCAGCTGCTGCCTATTGCACAAATGTACCAGTTCTCTAAGAACAAAGGAGGATGACTAACACTAGCACAGATTGTCTACTTCTCTTAGAACTCCCTCTTGCTATAGCATACACCAGCTATACCACCTTTAATTAAAAAAAAACCACCAAAAAACAACAACAAAAAACCCCAGCTGTCTTTTGGGGTGAGATTATTGCCCATCTTCACCATTTTCTGCAGTAAAACATGTTTTTGAATAACAACATCATCTTGTATCAGATCTTTTTCTAATTAAGTAACAGAACTGAGTGACAGACTGGGTTGGGTATAGCAATTGATAATTAAAAACCACTGAGAAATCAAGAAGCACATGCTTCTGTTCTTTTACAGTGTAATGTAGAGTATACACAATTATCTGTTTCCTCCTACTGTTATCATATAAGGTCCCACTCAGCAACGAGTGGGACCAGATGTCAAAGAAGACTTAAAATCAAATTATAGGCTCAAGAATTATCAACTGAGATTAAAAACACTGTCTCAAAGTTGCAGAATTTCATAAACTAAAGGCTGACACTGTGAACCTTATTTTGATTCAAGTGAGGATAACAATAAATCTGTGTATGAATATAAAACAGAAAAGAAAAAGTGAAAACTAGGATTGGAGACTACACGGCTGGGCTGTATAAAATGCACAAACCCATTCACATTCTGGCAGAATATAATTTAAAGTGTTTGTTTTGGAGGGTCTTCAGAGAAAATAGCAGTAACTAGGAGTTTAGCTGTGAAGCTTACAGTGTAGTACATTAACTTTAGAAGAGACAGACGTACATACTGCTTTACAACTGTTTGCTATAAGACTTGCAGTCTTCTTAAAAGTCTTCTCGAGGTAGTGAGCAAATCTCTCATTCTCATTTTCCTTGGAACCCAACTGGAGGAATTCACCTAAAAAGTTGCACAGATGGGAGTTTTATTTGTGGGTTTACTGCTTATGCAAACAAATCTGAAGATAAAAATAGAAAAAGACCTTACCACGCACCAGATCTTCAATCACCTGAGTTAGAACAGAGATGATAGTAGTGTTTCCAATTCGTGCTAAAGCTAGGGAAGCAGCTGAGAGGATGAAGTCACCAGCTAGAACAGCCTAAGAATAAGAAAAAAATTTATAAGTCTTTTCCTGTAAGCTTTATTACAGGCAATACAATTTCCTTTATTTGGCAGGTCTACTCACATCACATCATTTTCCTACATAAAAGCACACGTCATTATAACAGAGAGAAAAGAAGAGAACAAAATATTAAAATTTGAACCATTTTTTGAATCCCTATCTTACAGTGCTTTTTATATTATTCTGTATAAGCACTGTCCTCTCTGTATGCAATATCTGAATACGTGTTTGCCTGTGAAGTTTTTTTGAACATTACTCCTCTATTTGACCATTCTGATGTGACTGTTATGCCATGTTAGCTCTGAATTGCCATGGTAAGTCCTGATGAGTCAGCAGTCTACTCCTTTCCTTGCATTTTCTGATTAAGACCTTCCTTTTAATCCTCTATGAAGAAACACCTCTCAAAAAAATTTAAAAAAATTTAATGCTGACAGAAAACTTTTTTGCGTTTACTACTGAATCAGAGTAATATACAGTGTTCTGGATGAAGTACAAGGTATTCCAACAGCACTACAGAGAACGGCATAGGGAACATAAAATCAATAATAACCACACTAGAGTCACACATTATCTAATGCTTCCAACAGTTCAGAAAAGGAACACACTTTTGTCTTACCAACAATCTCTTCAAAGTTTTTCTGGCATATCCCAAGACTGTGCCTAGGGATAGCAATGTGACAAAAATCCCAGATATTTGTGCTCTGCTGAAACTCCAAGGCAAGTCTTGCACATAATAGCAAACTCACCTTCCTCTCTCCCCAGATTTGATTGACTGTCATTTTTCCTCTGCGAGAATTTGCATCATCAATAACATCATCATGAACTAGGCTAGCTGTGTGGATCATCTCAGCAATTATGGCCACAGAGCGCTGGCTTGCTTGCACCTCCCTAGAGTAAAAAACAAGAACTGTCATATAATTAATTCAATTATATGTGCTACAATACACTAAAAGAAATCTCTATGAAAACCAAACTAAAACTGTTTCTCTGAAAACAGCTGTTGCAGCTTTTCCATGGTCTGAGCCCCATCTTTCAAACCTGGAATTAGGAAGACAAGAGAAAGTAAGATCACATTAGTACAGTAAGTGCAATGAGACATTTCCATCCTTCTTAGGCCTGTTTCTGCCTTGCTGCATTAACAGTACTGCAAAATTCCTGAGTTATTGATTCTAATCTCTCTAAATCCAGACTGCAATAAACAGCATGGGATCAAGGATGCTTGGTTCCAAGGAGATAGAAATCTGGAAAACGGCAGACAAAAGAACGCCAGGTACCTTTTCAGATAAGTTTTGCTTATCTCTGTGTTGCTCTACCTGTAAAACACAGAATCACAAACTCTCCAAAGCTGGCTAACTCTACTTAACCAGCAAGCTGCAGAGATCAGCAGGCACAGAAACCTCTATTCTACATTTGAAAGACATAACTGGTAGATCTTATTCCTTTATGTTATCCGATTACCTTAAGAGCTCAGGTTCTTCAAAAGCCTAAGGAATTAACTGGAATTATACTGCAATCACTTTAGGACTGTAAACACCACCTACCTAACACTTACTGAAATTCAGCCTTTGGGAAGATCTAACACTGACAATTCAACTCTCAGTAGTTCACAACTACTTTATTTTTTAATCTAGGTGAAAAGTAGGTAATGGAAGAACACAGAAGCAATTATCTAGGGAACAAGGTTGTCAAAAGGAACATAAAAGCGCAAACCTAACTCACACAAAGGACCATCTACCCTAGCATCCAACTGCCGCTGCCTTTTCTAGTAACTATCTTTTTCTACCTGTTTTCACCATGGGTTGCATGCAGGATCCCAGAAATGGCTATCCCAGTCAGCCTTGCCTTATAGCTGTAACAAGCCCACATGGATGTTAAAAAAAAGACAAACCCAACAAAAGCAAAAAAATCCAAACCAATAACCAAAAACACCCAACAAGAGAAAAAAATACTTCTGATATATAGATACCTTACTTTTGGTATATTGATAATAGAGCAAATCACACTATCTTCCAGCAGAACAGAAAAAGAACTGAGAGAAACAGAAGATAATAATTTCAGCTCAGCTGAAGGGAATTCAAAATCTTCCTGCATTGCCTCTGTCCTATTAAAATCTAGTGATTAATCACAAAATGAAAGAACATCTTGCAGTCTGCTGACATAACATTGCATTCTGACACCTACCTCTATGCAGAACTCTGCATTGCTGTCAGTGGGAGTTCTACATCCTGAACAATAGCAGGATGTGTGGCTCATAGGCTGTGAAAATGCGGCTTTTAAACAACAGAAAATAAGAGCTGGAAACCTTCGCGGTTGTTTGAAGGTAAGTTTTACTATGGACTAGTAATTTAGTCAAATGCTAGTTTAGTGTACGTAGTTTTCCAAAATAAACTATTGTTACTAAGTAGGAGAACTTACCTTCAAAAAATGGTAAAGGTCTCCTGCCTCTTTCATGCACTGGTCTCCTTTTGGGGACTCCCTTTTTCATTAATTATGTCAGCAGACTGGACGTCCTGCTGGGAAGTAGCAGTAAATGGCAACACTCACTGATACACCAAAATCTTTCAGTAGTATGAAGACACCATAAGGTCAGACATTTCAAAAGCAGGTTATGAAAAGTTCTGCGTAATAGTGCATTTCACCTCTGACAATGACTAAAAATGGCATAGGAATGCTCATGGTTCGTGTGTCTGGTTCCTTGAATGTTATATCAAATGTGATAATTTAACCTGAAGGGGTTTTTTTGAACTACTGTTTCTGAAAGGTCTCAAGCAAGGTTCTTCCCATCGCCGGCAAAGAATTTTGCAATAGTTTCCTACAAACATCTTGGGAGAGTAATTCTGAATCAGAGCATGCCTATTTTAGAGAAAACACACAAGAAACAGGATCCTTCTAATTCCCTGCCATTTTTTATTCTGCTTTGCCTGCAAAACAAAAGCAAAACGTAGCAGTACCTCAAGTCAATAGGTAACTGGGTCCCCAGAAGTCCAGTAAGTGGAAAGATGCCATTTTTAGGTCATTCTCAAAGTAAAGGCACCCCAAGATTATATATATTTACACAAAATTTTTATACAACTGTAAGTTTATCTTTTCACACATGCATTATATTAATTTTCAGGTCCTTGATCATGTTCTATTTTTCAATAGGACCCCCTGCTTGATTCTGTGATAAGCTTTTCTAGACCTACAGTACACCGTGAGGTATTTTCTGTTACAAGATTTGCTTCAGGTACACTGAACAAGACCAATGCTGATCTTACAGGGTAAAAAAAAAAAAAACCCACCCAAACACACCTCTCCCTCCAAATATCTCTCTTCAAAAAAAAAGGAGGGGGCGGAAACACTCAACACAAAACAGTATCTACAGTCTGCAACAAAGAGCTTCGCAATGTGTTTGCCAGTAAGTAAAACTTGCCCGTTTAAAGACAGGAAATGCGCAAAAGAACTTGCAAAATTTCTGTGTTATGGCCACATTCCTCAAAGTACGTTTTTGCTGTTTAAGTCCCTGTGGCTGAAATAAACATTTTCAGAAACACGGTCTGACACATAAGGGCACTGCAAACTAGGGGAAGCATTGAGGACAGATGTGTTAACACGGGAGCAAACTACAGAACAGCTGAAAACCAGTATACAGTACAGGCATCTGACAACCATGGTTTAGAGGAGTGAAAGAAAAGAGGACTAAGGTTGCTGGCAGGTCTTCATGTCTTCAGGAAATATTATTCTATCCAGTTTAGCCAGGTCATTATATTTCTCACAGTGTTCTGATGATTTCCCTTTTCCCCCTAAATCTTTTGTGCTCACTATTTTCACTATTGAGATGTCTCTGTACTTTTTGGCCTTGTCTTATTTGTTTGTCTCTCTCATTTTGATTGCAGAAATAAAAGTAAAAACTTTTATTTGCAAACACCTCTGGAGAATACACCCTAAACAGAAGCATTAGGTCCAGTCAGGCTAAGTGATAATTCTGTGAAATTCTGCACAGATATGTGAAGAAATGCCAGAGGATGTGTGAAATTGAGGGGTTGCATGACCTCAGCTTAAACTCTTTACAACAGTTCTCACTCTCACACAAAGCTAAGTTCCTATCATTAAGCAAAAAGCCATTGCCCAAGTGACCTAGGACTCAGGGTTGGACTTCCAACACTTGGATCTTCAAGGCAAAAACACCAACATACCAGCTCTGAACAATCTGAATGCTTCAGACACTTATTTTTTGATAATAGTTCAGATTCTTTATACAACTGTCATTCTCCTTATTATGACTACAACAAAGTGACCTCACTCTAGAAACACAGTTAACCTGCTGAGAGCATTCTAAATACCTGGCCTGCCGCAAATCTAAACGATCATGTCACCCAACCTGTAAGCAGAGCTACCTTGTTGTTCCCCTCCATTCACTGGAGAAGTCTCAGCTATTCTGGTGGGGCTCTGTGAAGACAAAGAGGTTTCTGTGGACTGCCTTGTAAGATCACAACCTCTAACCTTACAAAGTTATGTCCTGTTATTTTAACGGCCACACAATGACGAATATTACCTTTTCTACTTGTACTGCACAAAAGTTTAAAAAAAAAAAAACACAACAAAAAAACCCCCAAATTAAAGAACAGGCAAGAGCATGCTGGGTCCAGCAAGTTATATGACAGTTGAATGGCAGCAAGATGAAGCAGAAACTCAACATCAGTAATACAAACCCCAGAGGCAGAATAAAAGAAATGCTAGGGATGAACAGCACAGGATATTGTCTCACCCCACAAGTCTACAGATGTTGTAGCCAGTATTTTTGATTACATGTGTGGGAACCAAAGCTTCAACAAAGAAAAACAAATCTGGGAGAAAAATCAATATTAACTGAGGAAAAGAACAATAAAATGCTTGAAGGGAAATGGCAAGTTGAAAGAGGAAAAAAAACTTTAAAAAAAACTGTTGGGAGAAGCAGAATGCAGAGCATTTTTTTTTTTTTTCCCTCAGCTCTACAGCGGAGCAGCAGAGTTTCCCTCTCTACATATACAATTTTCCTCACAAAGAATAAAAAGTTGGAAGAACAATCTGTCAACTGGAAGCAGTGCTGCTTTAAGAAGCAACAATAATGAAAGCAGTAAGGGGAATAAACAAGAGAGTTAGAGACATGCATGCACCTGCAGGGCCATGATCTCATTGGCATCACGGAGATGTGGTGGGATGGCTCCTATGGCTGGAGCGTTGGAATGGTGGGATACAGGCTCCTGAGCAAGGACAGGCAGGGGAGATGAGGAGGGGATGTCACCCTGTATGTCAGTGACCAGCTGGAGTGTATGGACCTCTGCCTGGGGATGGATGAGGAGCCAACTGAGAACTTGTGGGTCAGGATTAAAGGGAGGGCAGGGACAGGGGACATTATAGTGCAGGTCTGCTACAGGCCACCCGACCAGGAAGACTGAGCAGACAAGGCCCTCTATAAACAGATAGAGGCAGCCTCATGTTCACAAACCCTGGTCCTCATGGGGGACTTCAACCACCCTGATATCTGTTGGAGGGACAACACAACAGGGCATAAGCAAGCAGGAAGTTTCTGGAATGCGTTGATCTTCTTTCTTCAAGGGATAGAGAAGCCAACGAGGAGAGGTGCTATGCTGCACCTTGTTCTCACCAACAAGGAAGGGCTGGCGGGGAATATGAAGCTCAAGGGCAGCCTGGGCTGCAGTGACCATGAGATGGTGGAGTTCAAGATCCTCAGGGCAGTGAGGAGGGTGCACAGCAACCTCACTACCCTGGGCTTCAGGAGAGCGGACTTTGGCCTCTGCAGGGATCTGCTTGGCAGAGTATCACGGGATAAAGCCCTGGAGGGAGGTGGGGCCCAAGAAAGCTGGTTAATATTCACAGATCACCTCCTCCAAGCTCAGGAATGCTGC